TGTGTGTGTGTGTGTGTGAGAGACAGGGTCTCATTCTGTTGTCCAGACTAAAGTGCAGTGGTGTGTTCACTGTAATCTCAAATTCATGGGCTCAAGCAACTCTCCTACCTCAGCCTCTTGAATAGCTGGCACTACAGGTGCCTGGCTGATTTTTTCATTTTTTGTAGAGACGGGGTCTTGCTATGTTGCCCAGGCTGATATTGAACTCCTGGCCTCAGTCTTCCTGCCTTGGCCTTGTAAAGTGCTGGGATTAAAGGTGTGAGCCACTCTGCCTGGCCCTAAAATATCTGAACAAAACACTTATGCAGAGATCATTTTTGCAGCTTCCCTGATTTGCCTTCATTCCTAATTAAAGGCTATTTTAAATGGCTCTTTAAAGCATTTGCTTATGTAAAGAAGTATTTACTAAATTATTAACTGGCAATCCAGGAAAACAGGTTGCAAAAGAAAATAAATGTTTTGACATGTATTTTCCTTCAGATGTTTTCTATTAAAACAGTATGTTTTGCCGCTTTCCTGTTCTGAAAAGTATCAGTTTGATTTTGGTTCCTTGTCTTGTAGATAAAGAAAAATTTTACTTCAGTTCATCTTTCTTATGTGGAATTGAGACACATGGGTCAGCAGCAGCTGGGGCGGTATCCTCTTCATTTTCATCTGTGTGGAGACGTGGATTATAAAGGAGGGTACAGACATGCAACATTTGTGGACGGCCTGTCTATCCATCACAGCTTCTCAAGGTGCATCACTGTGCATGGGACAAATGGCTTGCTCGTAAGTGGCCTTCCATTGTGTCGATGCATGCTAGTGAAACAGTTAATGCTCCTTAATTCTCGTGACTTCTCAATCTAATATAAGTAAACTAGCCACGTGTTTTACTCTGTCCTGTTCTTACTGAGAATTCCGTGATTGCTCTGTCTGAAGGAGGCCTATTTTTTTAATATCCAAATTCTCCTCTTTTTAAATTTTAATTTATTCCCTGTGGGATCTAAGCAAATTACCCTCTTTAGAGATAAATAAAGCCTGGCATTGGATTTTGCCTCTTCTGCTAAGATTAATACTTCTTTTTGCGTTGGTACTGAACATGCTGCAGTGAATAGCACTTGTTACTTAAATCACCATCAATCTTGCTACCAATGACATTATACACTTGTATTTCTGCAGATAAAAGACACCATTGGATTTGACACACTAGGTCATTGTTTCTTTTTGGAAGATGGTGTTGAACAGAGAAATACTTTGTTCCACAATCTGGGACTCCTCACCAAGCCGGGCACTCTCCTCCCCACTGATAGGAACAACTCCATGTGTATCACCATCCGTGATAAAGTGTTCGGAAATTACATCCCTGTGCCTGCCACTGACTGTATGTGAGTAATTGGCAGAGAGAAAGACTCACGTGTGATGGTCCAGGCCTTTGGCTTTTGGGGAAGGTATTCTGGGGCGGAAGTTTTTCGTGGGCGGGATTTTTCATCAAGAATGTTTAAATCACTTTCAAAAATACCTTGCAGGGCTGTTTCAACTTTCTGGATTGCTCATCCCAACAATAATCTGATTAATAATGCAGCTGCAGGCTCACAGGTAAATAATATTAAAGTGTTTTCAGATCTTTTGTATTATTCTTGTTTATAAATCCCTGGGTTTGTATGGATGTAATGTCATGTGTGCCAGTGTAACCCCTTTGAATCCTTTGTGCCAGTTAGTATCTATGAGAATAATAAGACAGGCGCCAAAGGGAAGAAAAGAGGTGGGTTAATCTGTCGAGTTATGTCATCTTCAGAGCGCATTTTTGGTGTATTATGTACAATCTTTCTGACTTCTCATATTTAAGTCACATGTGGCTGAATAACTGATCATTTGTTTCTAGTGTTGATGAACAAAGAAAGCCTTAACTTTTCTCCATGGGAACGGGTCATTGTGTAGAATACTGTGACAGTTGTCACTTTGGTCAAGGGGCACATCCTTTTGTTAAATGCAAAGATTTATATACACTTGGGAATTTCATCTCCTTGGTAAAGCAGCTAAACCGAAATATGCGCTGTGAATTGTTTAAGACACACACAAGAATAATTTTTGAGAGATAAATGAACTCTTTTTGGATGGTAGAAATGTCCCCCAGAGAAGATTGGAGAAATTGACATTTATAATTGTGACTTAAAACTAATTATAATTTAAATGAATCTTTCAAGACATTATACTATTAAGATTGTAACTGTGCCGAAAACTACAGAAATAATATTCATATTTGTACAATGTGGCATTTAGAATTTTAAAAAGGAAGGAAATTCCTAGCATTGTTTTCCTAGGATGAAGTAAAAGATTAATTAAAGAGAGTATTTCTTTGAGATAACGTGAATCTAGGCATCACTGGGTGATGATTAAACTCATATGTGTTATTTTCCTTAAAAACATTAAACAACATGGGAGTCTCTGTCAGTTGAAGATCTTATGTGACAGCGCAGAGACCTGGACATTTGATCATTTCAGGTTTTCGTTTATTCATTTTGCACAAAATATGTGTTGAGCCTGTGTGGGGTTTGTGCTGAGAGTGTCTAATTGGAAAGTGAGTTTTTGAGTGAAGATAACCAAGAGGTTGCTATGCAGCCTTACCCATTGTCACTGTCTGATCTATGTTACGTTATAAGTCAACAGGCAGGGCAAAGATTCCTTTCAGCTCTTTTTAAAAGTCAGGGGTTGGAGATTAAAGCAATTGCAGAGTCTGAAAAATGTAAGATGAGGTTGCCAGATACCCTCACTGCAGCTCATGTAAGAAAAGAAGAAAGCATTTCGTGCATGTTCTTCTTTGTTTTTATTCTGTGAACTATTTCTTTTCTCTCTAGAAAAACTGTTCCAGTAAAGTGAATTTTGGCAGGGTTTTTCCTCCCAAAGTAAATCAAACCGTTTTTTTTTTCATTGTACCTTTCCACTGCCTTTTACAAAGGTCCTTTTACCTGTTTGGACACCACAGTGTTTAACAGGAAGCAACTGCTACCCTCTTATTGGCACCCTCCCCAACCCCCATATCCCCAAACTGTGCTGCATCCTAGGAGGCCCCGCTCTGCCCTCAGCTTGCAGGTTGTGGTATCGAGTCTTCTAGCTGACACTCCAAGTCTTATTCCATTGAGTTGTCTGTTTTGTGCCCAAAAGAGTTGAGGTGGCAAACATTTTTCAGAGTAGTTTGTTTTTATTAAGACCCCTTTTAAACTTTTATCATGGAAAAATATTAAATATTGCATTCATTTTGGTGTGTAGGTGTATAAGCTTTCCACAATTCATATGTCTCCTCTATGCTCCCAACACTTTGTCTCAACTAATATAGTACTTATTACATATGCTATATTTTAGTTATCTCTGTATTTCCCATCAGACTAGGAATGTTTGAGAATAGTCTTACTGTACGTCTCCTTTGACACTGTTTAAGTTTTAACAACTTGTTTAATCCCAAATTCCATAATGTGAAGTTGTCCTTCACATTGGGCTGATTTTTAATTCAACCGTAAAATAAAAAAATTGCCACGAGTATTACGAACATTTATTTCCATTTTCATGTCTCATTTTGAGTGTCAAAAAATTCTAAACTGTTCTGTTCCTGTTTTGGTCAGTAATACTGAAATTGAACAGACAGGGTCCAGACGGAGACAGCATCCCGATTCATACATGTGGTGGTTTTTTTCTTTTTTTTTTTTCCTTTGGCAAAAATTTGCCTCGGGACAGGAAGGGCATTGGAGTTGTTTGAAAGAAGTCAGTGAGTCCTGCATGTTGGCGGACAGTTGTTTAATAGGAGTGACTCATCTATTGATCAGGTTTGGAGGTAAACAGAAGAAAACCATATTGCTTAATGGTTGTGCTGTCCTGGGCACATAGAAAGCTTGTTTGGTTTTAATGCTGCATAACTTTTTAAAGTAGATAATGATGGGAAAGTTGTTTTGAATGTAAATTTTGGTGTTAGACAATAATTTCTACCTTTTGTCTAATCCTGCAAGCAAAATTAAATTTTCCTTAAAAAAAAATGATGTAACTGCTTTCAGGGTGCTAGATTATGCAAAATTTTTTTTTAAGCTACCCATCATGAGCTATGTATATATTTTTTATAGCCAATTCTGAACCTGAGACAATGAAAAATTTATGTGAGAAAGGTTAAACTTTCTTGCGAAGCAGTTTCTGAGGCTGTTTCTTAGAGTGGCTTTATAAACTAAGGCTTTTCATGATCTTGCCCTTTCATTTATAGGATGCTGGAATATGGTATTTATTCCACAAGGAACCTACTGGGGAATCCAGTGGATTGCAGTTGTTAGCGAAACCAGAACTCACTCCATTGGGTATATTTTATAACAACAGGGTCCATTCAAATTTTAAGGTAAGTTCCTCAGTTTTAACAATCAGTACATGTGATATACTGGGTAAAGGACGAACTACACTTTATATCTTAGTACATTTTGTGCTGCTATAACAGAATGCCACAGACTGGGTAATTTATAATGAAGAGAAATTTATTTGACTCACAGTTCTCGAGTCTGGGAAGTCCAAGATTGAGGGGCCACATCTGGCGATGGCCTTCTCGCTGTGTCCTCCTGTGGAAGAAGGGCAAAGGGAGAGTGAGAAAGGATGAGAGATCAAGCTCATAGCCCCAAGCCCTTTTATAATCAGCATTATTCCATTTGTGAGGATGAGCCCTCTGGACCTACATACCTCCCATTAGGTCCTACCTCTCGATACTTTTGCACTGGGGATTACATTTCCATGTGGGGGACACACTCAAATCATAGCAGATTATAGCTGAGAAATGTCAGATTTTGATAGAACTTGTCATCAGAGAAAGTAATTTGTGATTTAAAAAAGCAGACACCTAACCCTTCCATGTTCAGGATGTGTATATGATATAGCAATCCATTTAGTCACACGCAGGTATGCACAACACACACGTGTACATGTAATCTGAACAATTACATAATGGACTTGATCCATGTGTCTCCATCCTCTCTCTCTTTCCTTCCCTCCCTCTCTCTCACCTTTCCAATCTTGAATATCATTACGTGTTTCTAGGGATGTACACATTAGATGATATGATATGCTTCTGGGGTTAATAAGTATAATTCTTCTCTACTCTTCATTCACAGTGGCTGGTTGAGTGTCCTATTAGGCATTTAATACTAATTATGTAAATAGTGAGATATTGCTTAAAAATATTTGAGCTAATTTAAGATGATACAGCTCAGGTAACTGAAAGGCCATTTGGGAACTCCAGTTTCCATGATATTTTGTACTTACCTTCCACTCCCGGTGATAAATACATTTGGTTCATTTATGCTCACAAGACACTTTAATATTTTTATTTTATGCATGTAATGCCCAGATCCTTTATCCTGGGGTGA